CCAGCCTCCAGAATTGTTAGAGAATAAATTCCTGTTTGTTAAAGTCATCCCATTTGTGGTCTATTCCTGTCAGAGCAGCACTAGGTAACCAGAACAGACATTGTTACTTCCTACTGTGGAAGGTGAGAATGTTGTCTTATACTCCTCTACATACCCCATTTCTTCCCACTTTAGTTATATAAAAAAATTGTTAGTTAAATCTATATTTAGTGTTTATGTTACTAAGACTACTAAATATTGGTCATTTCCTTTCTTGTGCAAATTTTTTTTCCCCCTCTAGATTTAATAATTGCCTTACTTTTTCCAACTGCTTAGCTTTCAATGTATCTACCACTAATTTGATATTATTTTCATGGTAGGTGTAAATCTCCCCTCAGTACATGTAGACACATCAAGTAGTTTTTCCTGGGATTCTGTGCCTGCTGTCATCCTGGAACTAACTTCTCATTGTCTCTTCCCTGCTTCCTGGCTTGGTGTCTTCCTCTTTCTTGATTTGCTCCCTTCTTTTGGTGGAACCCATCTTCCAACAGCATCCTGACAAAAAATTTATGAGGTTAAGTTATGCATTCATCCTGGATTGAGAGTTTGGGCATAGAATTTTAGTTTGGAAATTGTTTTCACTCAGAATTTTAGATACTGCACTGATGCTTGTTAGTTTCTAGTGCTGCTGTTTAGAAATCCAAGCCATTCTGATTCCTTTCTTGGTATGTGACCATTTTTATTGTCTTGGCAAGCTGTCAGGATCTTCCTTTTCCCTATGGTGTTTGGAAATGTTAGTGTTTAATAATTATGTTTCTTTCTTGTTTCTCAGGCTAAAACATTGGCATTATCTTTACCTCTTCTTTCTGTTCCACATTAATCAATCAAAAATTCCTTTCAGCACTATCTCAAAATATATTTAAAATCTGGCTACTTTTTATTACTTTCAGTGACAACATTCTGGCCCAAGCCACCATTTCTTGTCCAGCTTTTTAAGGATAAGGACTTTGCTTTATTCACTGCTGTTGTCCTCGCTGGTAGAACAGAGTTTGACATATAGTTTTTTTTTTTTTTTTTTTTAATGTATTTATTGAGTGCTATGCAAACTAGGAAACAAAAGCCTAAACCCACAAGACATTAAGAATAGCTGCCAAAAGCTGTCAAGATTGTGCAGGCAGCTTTGCATGAGGGAGGAAGCAGAGATGAATCTTGAGGCAAAGATCTCAGAAGAAACCAACAAAATGTATTTCTCAACGTCTACTTTGTGTACCTTTTGAAGCAAGAACTAAAATCTCATGTTTGCAGTAGTATAAATATGGTATACAGATTCTCTGAGCTTTGTTTGAGTCCAAGAAGTAAAGGAGGAAAGGTTAAATGAGAAGTCACACAGATAAGCCACTACAGTGTAAAACCAAACCAAACTTATTGCCATCTGGTCAAACCCGACTCATAGCGACCCCTCCTTGGATTTCCGAGGCAGTATCACAATGGAAGTAGATTGCCCAACCTTCCTTTCTAGGAGTGGCTGGTGGGTTTGAACCACCAACCTTCTAGTTAGCAGTCAAGTGCCTAGGCACTATGCTACCAGAGCTCCTACTATGGCTCTTCTAGCCATGGTCTTTGTGGCTCCCACCAGATGACTGGATGGGACTATGCAAATATGAAATGCTTATGGGGAGCTCTGGTGGCTTAGTGCCTAAGGTTCTTGACTGCTAACCAGAAGTTTGGTGGTTCAAACCCACCAGCCACTCTTTGGAAGGAAGATTGGGCAGTCTACTTCCGTCGTGATATGCCTCAGAAATCCAAGGAGGTGTCACTATGAGTCGGAAATGACAGCACATAACAAGGGGCTGGGTAGCTTGTTAACAAAGTAAATAAGGTTCCTGGCACCCTTGTGGGGGTGAGACCATATAAATAAAGTGTATGGAACCCTAACATGGGAATTAGTCAGTTTTGCCACTCCCTTGGCTTAAAATGAGCCATCCAAGTGGCAGAAACAGGGGGTCTCACTACCATCAAGGCAGAAGAAGCAGAAGTGGAGTGCGTCCTTGAATCTGAGAGAGATGGTAGCAGCAGAACCAAGAGACCTGCACAAGAGAGAGTAGTGGGCCTGCAAGCCCACAGAGTGAGAAAGCTGAGTGCTTTTGGGCAGAGGCTCAATGGCAAAGTGGGGTGCATCTATGGCAGAGCTCCAAGAGTTTGGTAACACTTGCCTGAGCAGGGCAGGCCAAGAGGCTAAGAGCCAAGGGGAGACAGTCCTGATCAAAGAATTGTACCTGAGTGTCCTGAACCTGACTTGTAACCTGTTACTTCCCTAATAAACCCCGTAATGAGTATTACCTGTGAGTTCTGTGTGGCCACTGCAACAAATTACTGAACCCAGCAGAAAAGTTATAGTGCTGTGGGAGGGATTGGTGTCAGAATTGGTTAAAAGTGTTGGAGGGTGGTGGCAGGTCTGACCTTTGCATCCTAGGAATCAGCCTTGGGCTGATGTTCCCGATAGTGATTCTCTCTCAGCCTTGTGAAATTAAAGGAGGTCAGAGGACACTGCCTCCACACTGTTTTTGCAGCCACCTGAAAGGAGATAAAGCAGACTGGCCTCAGATTTTCCCATAGCGTCATGTATCACTAAAACAATGGAGCAATGCCAATGAAATTTTTAAAGAAAGAACTTTATACCTAGATGGTTCAACCAGGTTTCCTAGTTGCAGATCAGGAGTCAACAATTTTTTTTTTTTTTTTTTTTTCTTTTAATGGGCCAAATAGTTTAGGCTTTTAGGCCAAATGGCCTTTGTCACAGCTACTTCTGCTGTTTTATATCTGCACATAAATTGGGAAAGGCTATCTTCTCAGTCAGTGGGCACAACTTCAAGCTTACATTGTGTGGATTAGCCATGTAGGCTTTGTAAGAGACAAGATTGGAGGATGGTGAAGTAAATTAAGACCATGTCACACCTGTGTTGATCTTACTCGGAATAAAAGCAAAAAATACTCAAAATGGCTTATCATGCCTTTCATGACCTTTTCCCTTGCTCATACTCTGACCTGAACTCTTAGTGTTCTCCTTCCTTTCACTCTGGTTTCGTCATACTGGTCTCTTTGAACATGCCAGGCATAGATGTACCCTGCGGTTTTCATACGTGCTGCCCCTTCTCTCTAGTATGTCTATCAGAGAGCCACATGTCTTGTACTCTCAGCTCCTTTGGGTCATTACTCAAATGTCACCTTGTTGAGGTCTTCCTTGGACATCTATTTTAAATTGCACTCCCTCTGACACTGTCTGCCTTCCCTGTTCCCTCGTAGCAGTCAACACAGACTAACATATACATAGCTTATTCATCTTGTTCATGTCTATTTCTTCATTCCCACTAGAATATAAGCTTTTTGAGGACAGAAATACTTTACTGTTCCGTCCTCTTTTCCTGTAACAGTGGCTGGCATATGACAGACAAATATTTGTTGAATGAATGAAGGACGGTCTGGGAAAGAGGCATGTGAGTGAACTTTTCAAAAATGTGCTCTGAGTGTGAGAATGTATGTGTCAGTGTGAATGCTCACAAAAGGAATTTCACAATTAGATGGATGTGACCTATTCCATAGATTATCAGCCAGCCTTTCTCTAGCCACTCCAGTCCTTACTCATGAGTTCATGAACAAAGTAACCATAGGGGCAGGAGTGGTCATTACACATGTGCTCAAGAGCACAAACTTCACTAAGGCTGACCTAAGTGCTGTTGGGTGTCTAGGCTGCTTTGCCAGCAGAGCAACACAATCCCATGCTTCAGAGAAACCAGCTTGCCCCTCAGTA